ATACACATAATGAAATACAAGTTGTCTATTTTTTCCAACAATCTTTAGGAGCCAATGGGTTTTATGAGCTGCTCAGATTCAAAGCAGAAAAGATTGAAATTAATTGTTTGTTGGTTTTAGTGAATATTGAATGATGGTTGCTCACACCTTCTTGTTAAACTCCATGGCTTTATGAGCTCGACTGTCCCTCACACTGTCTCCGCTCTGAGACACCACTCTCATGCTGCTGCTCAGGCGTTTGGGTCGGCGGGCCATGCTGAGCACGCCCAGGCGCAGAGGTCGACCTTGGGCGGCTTTGATCATGGCCGCTGCAGTTTCATGGTGTTTTACTGGGATACCGTTCACCTCCAGAACATAATCTCCAGATTTGAGACTACAGAGACCTGCTGGTCCAGTGGGCGCACACTCCTCTACCATCAGGGGGCTGTCTCCAACTATAGTAAAGCCGAAACGACCATCAGGGCCCGGGCTGATGTCAATCTGATGAAAAAATAAATACAAAAAAAAAAGGATAAATGTTATCTTCTTCTTATTTCCCTATTTCTATAAAACAAACTTTTCAAATTTTTTCAAACCTTATACTGTGTTAATAATGTTTTTGTGCAGATATAAAATAAAAAGATAGAAAAAAATACATATTCATTTTGAAATTGCTCCCTAAAAGACTGACAACTTCCTTCCTCTTAATAAATTATAGCTGCCACAATAAGTGCAGGACATGTCAGTTAATACTGTATGTCCTCTGAAAAACTGGGACATAAGTATTAAGTCATCACACAAGATTTCAAGTTGTTTTCATAATTACAGTTAAATAGAGACGAAATAATAATATTACTACCAATAATAATAACAATAACAATAATAATAATAATAATAACAATAATAATAATAATTTGTCATTTCAAGTTAAATAATAATTGATCTGATATGCTTGTCAAAAATGAATCAGATTTATCATGGATTTTAGACTGAGAATTCAATATGTAAACGTTGAATTAAAGTTAAACATTCTGCAATATTGCCGTGCGTCATTGATTTAATTATTTTTGAAATTATGCCCGAGTAATGATTTAGAATATGTGTGAGGATTAGATAGCGATTTGGCCAACGTGCAGGACAACTGCAAGACTCTACAAGGACTCTGATGGTGCATCTATGTTATGACTATGATTTGCTCTGTCTCTGTGTGACACGTATGTCTTTCGATGTGTGACGTAACAATATCCATATAACTGTTCTGACTCCATTTTGATCCGAGAGAAAGAAACATCAGAAACCGTTTGGCGCACCACGATCCGTCTCTGTCTGGTTCATTCCTGACATATGGATGACAGGTTGTCAAAAATTGTCAAAGTTTGTGAATATTAGTGGTGTTTTAAATTGACAGGAAGTAGAGCAGTGCTGTTGAGCTGAAGTTTGACACAATTTATAATAAATAAATGCTTTGTTATGAACACTTATGTTTATTTTGTGTTATCATTAATTTTCTCAAATCGTTTGAGTAGAGTTTATCACATGATTGACATCCCTAGTGTGATGTCATCAGTTCCACCCAAGAAGCAAAAAAAAATCTAAAATCTAAAACAATAAAATAAAAATGTGGTGTTAACTGTGTTTTGTGAAAAGCCATTCATTAATCAAATAAGTTATTCGATGTTTAGTGACTTTGTTCTGGCCATACCTGTTTGATCCTTGACACCACTCCGATGCTCGGTGGGACTGTCTTCAGGGTCTGGGCCAAAGCGATGAGCGCCGGAGTGCTCAGGTTGGTCACATCCTGCCCTTCTATATCCACCACCTGGTCCCCCGGCTGCAGACCCGCCAGGGAGGCACTGCTGCCCTCCACCACCGACAGGATGTAACTGGGCCCAGTGCCACCGAGTCTGAAGCCAAACGCCTCTGGCCAGTTCTGATTGGTTGGTGGGAGGCCCAGAACTGAGGCAGTGACAAGTTAGTACAGTACATTTAGGAATTTAGGGCAGATTGCTCAAGCAAGATCCGGTTGCAATAACATTGAGGTCAAACTGTTAACTTTTTTTAATGAATGTCTCTTTAACATTAAGAACATAATATTGTGTTCTACAAGTTAGTGATTGGTTTTAACGATATAGGATGTGAAATCTAGAACAGTAACTTTCACCTTCTGGCCTTCCTTTGATCATCGTCCTCCTTCAGTGGAAAAGAACCCCATAGACTAACTTATGATTACTAAAAAATAGACAAGATTCCCATAGAAAAATCTTTAAATATAGTTACTCATTATCTGAAGCAATAAAAGAAAAGAATAAAATATATGTATTTATATATATGTTTTATATATGTATAATATATATTATACATCTCACATCCACATCCAGTCGGAGTTAGGGCTTCAACTTACAAACTGATGAAAAGACTTAATGACGACTTACAAAAATCTTTGGAAGCACTACGGGTCCCAGACTTGATGCTCTGGCGCAGGGAGAAGCGACCCTTTCTGCTCAGGAAGCGCCTCATCCTCGCCCGGCTGGCGGCAGGGCACGTTCCTGCCAGCCTTCCTTCCCCCCAGCGTGGGGAACCGCAGTGTGCCCTGGACACGCTTCTGCTGCACCTCTGCTGTTACAGTCTCCACACTCCGCTTTCCACCATTCACATAGACATCGTCCTAGAGGTCACATTTGTGAATGCTGAAGCACAGTTCCAGTCTGATAAAACCATCAGAATGTGAAGATGCCAAGGCCGATGGACAGAGGCCCATTGAAGACTCTCCATCCTGGACCAGCAGTCCACTCTGCACCTCCGTCCCAACCCTATGGCTAAATGATCATCACAAATCTGGGACACACTTACTTGGTCCTGAAACCGTTTGTTCGCGAGAAAAGGTACAGCAAAGCCCCATTTTTCTATAAATACCGTTCACTCTCTCTCTTTCTGCTGCCTGTGCGGATGGGACCCTCTCAGAGGGCTGAGAAGTGACCCAGAAAGTGTCTGAAACAGCCAGGGACACTGATTATAGCGTCTGTGTTAACCTCAGCTAAGAAGAAACATGGAAGATTGTGACATGTTCAAGGTCAGACTCATACAATAAAACAACATCAGTAATGATGCAGTATTGGTTGCTTTTCTCAAAAGCCTTAGGCTTGCTGTAATAATAACAATTCCAGAGTAACCTGAGAAATAAGGAGCAACTGGTTTGGATAATTGTACAAGAAGCATGCGTATGTCCTCTGAACGACTGGGGCATAAATATTAAGTCATCACTCAAGATTTCAAGTTGTTTTCATAATTACAGTTAAACAAAGTCATAATCATAATAATGTAATGTCATTTCAAATGAATAATTGATCTAATATACAATGCCCGTCAGAAATGAACCACATTTATCATGGAAAACAAACACATTTACAACTGAAATTTCAGTATGTAAAATTTTAATTATTTTTGATTGTATTAATTAACATGATTGTAAAAGTTACATTATTGAAAAAGCTGCAAAGAGTTCAAATTGAGCAGTAGTCGAGGTCACAACTGGATCTCGACCTCTGGGGTATAATCCTCTTGTTGCTGCTGCACCATCTGAACCCCCTCCTCTATGTCTGTGGTCACCACAGTGACCGTCCCCTCGGGCATCTCCACGGTGCCTGTGGTTCCTAGAAGTGTTCCGTCATTAATCGCAGAGGCGAGAGTCATGGCAACCTGCTCCGTCAGGCTCTCAGGCGTGGCGATGGTGATGGTGTCTCCACAGTCAGAGATGGACATTCCCTCCTCGTTCGCCCCCACGTTGCGTACAATAATCTGAGGGCTCCCTGTGCCTGCTACATGAGCCTGGCTCACAATCTGCTGTACAACTTTCATTATATGGGCACCCACCTACAAACAATCAGATTTAGAAAAAGAAACAAAAACAATATGCTATGGACCTTTAAAACAGACCTCATTCTGGTCATCCTGGATTAGAGCAACTTGTTGTCCTTGTGCTTCTTCATCAGTTTGAGTCTAAAGATAAAGTACATGTTATTGAAACTCAATACAAATACAAAGTTTAAAAAGGAGCTGTAATCCAGTGAAATAGACCAGATGTTCCTATTTACTTGGGAAAGTCCCGATTTTGAGTGTTGTCCTAGTTTTGCACGGGCTCCCTGCCTTGTGTCCTGATTTTTTTTGAGCAGAAGCTACAATAACTTTTAGGAGAAAACACGTTCCACATGTTCAGGTTTTATCCTTATCTAAGTGAAGAAAAAAAATTAAGCTACACTAAATAAAATGTACGATCATTATTTTTATTAATGCATGACCTCGTCACCACAGCGTCTTAGAACAGGTAGAATATAGCCCTTGACGATAGTATAATCTGGTGTGTTTACATTTGTGTAAAGAGTTGTAAATGATCACTTTTAACTTAAAAAAAAAAAGTTAATTGAATTAAACAAATGACTTATAGGTTTAAAGTCTAAATCATTTCAATTTTCAAATATAATTAACGTAATTGTGTAATGTGAGCAGTATCAGTTGTGGGAGGTGATCGGCCGATTTAAACAAAGGTAATCGAAACGGCAATCCTCCATGATAAAACAGTGTGCACAAACAAAGTAGGAGTAAGTTAATAGTGTAAAAGTAACAAAAGTATTTCTACCAAAACATTTCACCAAACTACTGTAGATGACAAGAGCATGACAGAATCACAGTTAACAGATAAAAGAGAAATGGTCTAATGTCAAATGTAATACAAATGGGATATTATCATACAAAAGTAGTGAGTCCCAGTTTTATTTCCAAACGTCTGGTTTCCCATTATGCACAGACGCATTAACCTCACCTTGATAATGTACTCTTGTGTGTCTGCTACAACAGAAGAGAACTCCACCAGGACAGCATGAGGATCTTCTGTTGCGGCGGCAGCTGTGACCTGTTCACTGGAATCTTCTTTTTGGCAGCCTCCTGTGGGACATGGAAAGAGGCTGTTACCTCAACAGAACACGTACATCACCAAGTATTACTCCATACCTTTAGCACGCATATGCCGATTGAGGGTCCCATGTTCTGCAAAGCCCCGCCCGCACTTGGAGCACTTGTATGGCTTCTCCCCAGTGTGATGCCGGATGTGTCGCACCAAAGAACCCTTTTCTCTGAAGCTTCTTGAGCAATACTGACAGACAAAGGGTTTCTCATCACCGTGGGTCCGTTGATGCACTTGCAAGGCGTTCTGAACAAAACAAGGATATATCTATTTTTTTTTTTTTTTTACATATTATGTTAGTTCTTTAAAGGTAAATGACTTTTGAAATTACCTTTGTCTTATAACCTCGGTCACATTTGTAGCAGTGATAAGGCCTCTCGTCTGAATGGGACCTCATGTGCTCGCGGACGTGTCCAATGGTTTTGTAAAGCTTCCCACACTCCCCACACTTGTACCGTCTTTCACTAACATGGCCTTCCATGTGTTTTTTCAGTTGGTAACCGGACACAAAATCTTTCAGGCAGATGCTACACTTAAAAGGCTTATGACCTGTCAACAATAAATATCAGGCAGAAAAAGGGAAGTTTGAGGCTCGTTGTTGTTGTTCACTGAATAATTCGACTGATTGCTCACCCAAATGACCCTTTACATGAAAGCGGAGGTAATTAATGCCTTTGAAAGTGCGGTCACAGTGGGGACATTTGTGCAGTTTAGATATGCTCTCTTGGCCAACGTCCTCTCCATCATCTGTCTCCTAAGACATGTAAACCAAACCTTAATTCACACAAAACTTCAAAAAAATAACCAATTATATTGTGTGCTCTGACATATGATGTAGCATTTAGATTAGAAAACTTGTATCAAATAACAATCTTACTTCATCATTAGTCGTTTCCATGTGTTCATCTTTGACATGGACCTCAGTAATACTCTCCTGTAAAGTCTCTTCCACCACAGTTTCTTCCGTTTCCAGAGCGATGCCAGAGTTGATGATTGCCTGACAGATAAGGCTGTCACCTGCTGCTGCCGCTGCTGCTAAAGCTTCTGCCTGCGATGGCTCAACCATAACCTGAACCAACATCATACAAGAATTACAAGTAGTCAAGATAACAATAAAACAAGCAGATTTGTTTAAACAAACCTTTTGTTCTTGAGTTGTATCATCAACTGCCATAGTAATGTGTACTTGATGAAGAACCTCCTGAGATCCCACTTCAAACACGTTGACCACAGCCGTTTGTGCTCCTACGTCCTCATTCTCCTCACTCTGTTGCTGCTGCACTACAAAGACTTCTTGAGGCTCAGTTGTCGAGTCATGGTCACTTTCAACTCCTGGTAACAAAGAAATTCCTTTCAGCGCACACCGACTCCACACAATGTCATTAAATGATTTCAAAATAAGAAACCTACCTTTACGTGCTCCATCTTTGCTGACAAGTATTTCTTTGTATTGAAAAAGACGGATCTTTTCTGTGCAAGGAGTAAGAGACTTTTGATGTCTTGTGAGAGCCCCTGATTCTCTAAAGGACTGACCACACTGGGTACATCTATATGGTCGTTCATCTATAAGGAGAAAAGTATCATTTTCAAAATAGTTTCATTATGCACAAGAAAAAAATAATTATTTTACCTGTATGGCGACGATTGTGTCGGATTAAAGAGCCTTTCGTTCTAAAAGAGGTGTCACACAATTCACATTTAAAGTTTTTTTCATCTGTGTGCGTTTTCAAGTGAGTTCTTAAGATGTTGAGCTGTCGATTAAAGATAAGTTCAAGATAAGTAGAAGTGCAATTTCATAGTCACCCAAATGATTGCAAAACTCACTGTCTTGAATGTCTTTTGACACACACTACATAGATACCGCCCTTCAGTGTTGACAGTGTAATCATTATTGTCCGTCTCGGCACCAAAGTCAGACAGGGATCTTTCAGTCTGATGTGATTGATTGACTTTAGGTGAAGTTTTTCTCCTTTGACCTCCACCTGAGGCGTTGTCATCTGTTTCAATGATTAAATAATATAAAAACTTCAATTAATAAAATCATGTTATCTGTTATTATGAATGTCTGCAGTATTTCATACTTTGAGAGGTCGCGTTTAACTTTGAAGGACTTCCATTTGATTCGGCCACCTATTCAGAAATGTCTATGTAAGATATATGTGCAATATGAATTATTCTGAGCAGTAAAATATGGGTTACTTGTTGGTTGCTGGTATCACGTTTGCAGCTTTTCTGCAACTTGTGCTGGATGAAAGCATCCAGAGTGGAGAACTCCACTTGACAACGACCACATTTGTGCAGGTCTTCATCTGCAAACACAAGCAGCAAACTGCATTTGGACAAGAAAAGACGAGTGATTTTGTTTACTGTTTCAGTGAAGTTGCTCATTATAACGGGGCAACATTAGTTCAGTGAGTTTGTTTTGCTACTGGTAGCTAGCTTAACTGTTAGCTCTGGTTTTGTGATGAAGGGGTTGTTAATGCAGGCCAAAAGGTAAATAAACATATTTTAGTTGGCTCGTTTCAAGTGATAACTGACCCTCATCTCCCAGGCTGGTGTGGACGGTGATCGTCTCGTTGCCGTTTGTCGTTTCCTCCGTCTCTGTTTGTGCCGTAAGATCATTCTTTACACTCATGTCGTTAGGATCTCCGTCCTGTCGCAACACCGCCGCGGAGAGGAGGGAACATGGCGGATTTACGACTACGTAGTCATAACAACGTCAATGTGCTGCCTTCATGTTTGTTTTTATCTACTCAAATCACTATAAAAGAGATTAATAGTTATATATGAACGTCCAAGACAACTATTCTTCTCTTTGTTTATGATATAATAGAACTACCGCTATAAATTCGATAATAGTTTCTCTACACAGCCAGCAGGAGGCGCTGCTGTCTGTGCAGGCCCCAGAGCCAGCAGTCTGTACCATGAAGTAGAGTTTCAGCATGGCGTCCCACTTCAGCAGTGTTTTGAGGTTGACTGACCTGGATGATTTCATCACACCGTCTCAGGTATAGACTGAAACTTTACAGTAAGATAGTTAAGATATATATGCATGTTGCCGTGTACAACTGTAACAAGCTTAGCTGCAGTTGTTGTGTGATATAGTTAAACAACACACTACTCATCCATTTGTGTTTTTTTATTATTATTGTTATTATTTGGGACTGTGCACGTTGATGTAAAGACATGGTTAAGACATGGAAGGAAATATGCCAGATTTTACTAAAGGGCAAACATAATTTCTATCCGTGGTCCAAGATGTGCTGGTCATTGTGACTAAGCACAAACTAATGACGCACAACCTGCCACTGTCGTCAACATTACTTTGTAATAATATCGGTTGTATTATTTACAGTCTATAGTTGTACCATAGTGAATAACGTTACATGATTATGACAGCACAGCTTGAATTATTTGTATTTGATTAGTTATAGAAACCCAGTTAATCTATAGTGGGTCTACATTTGAAGACTTCTATTGTAGCCATAGCCTTTTTTATGTTGTACTTAATTGTTTACAGGAATGTGTCAAACCTGTTAAAGTCGAAAAGAAGCAAGGGAAGTCCGTGGCCAGAATACAAATAGAAGACGATGGCAGTTACATCCAGGTCAATCAGGTCTGTGAGTAGATGCCAAAGGCCAATAAGTGTAATGTTGGTTACTATATCTGTTTTTTGTTTCATTTTGTAGGATGGTGTGAAACAGAAACTAGAGAAAGCCAAGATCACTCTGAATGATTGTCTGGCCTGCAGTGGTTGCATTACTTCAGCTGAAAGTGTCCTTATTACACAGCAAAGCCATGAGGAGCTTTTCAAGGTGCTGCACAACAATAAGGTTTGTGCAGTGAATGTCATCCATGTTCAATCAGTATGTTTTGTTTATTTTTTTGTCCAGGTTGATTTTATATAACGTATTTGTTTTTTAACAGACCAATGATAAAGAGCAGAAGGTGGTTGTAGTGTCAGTCTCACCTCAGTCAAGGGCATCACTCGCTGCACACTATGACCTCAGCAGTAGCGAGACAGGCAAAAGACTCACAAGTTTTCTAAAAAGCCTCGGTAATATTCTCTACTTTTTAAAAATTGGCCCAATCTGTAGTCCGTAGTCTTACTTCAATAATGTTTGTCCCAGGTGTACACCATGTGTTTGACACAAACTTTAGTCGGACGTTTAGCCTTTTAGAAACACAGAAAGAGTTTGTGGAGCGCTTCCAAAAAAAAGAACAAGATTGTAAAGCTCTTCCTTTGCTGACATCTGCCTGTCCAGGTAGAACACTATATTACATATGTGTGGTTAACATTTAAATTGTTTTATATTGAATTGTTTTTTATTGTTCTTTTTTTCAGGATGGATTTGTTATGCAGAAAAGACTCATGGAGAAGATATTCTGCCTTACATAAGCTCTACTCGTTCACCTCAGCAGATGATGGGATCACTTGTTAAATGTTATTTTGCTGAACAACAGGTATGTTTTTTAACTATTTATCCCAATGTTGCTTTATTCATTCATTTGTTTCTATATTTTTTGTGTCCATCAGGGGCTGAGCCCTCAGCAGATTTACCATGTGACAGTAATGCCATGCTTTGACAAGAAACTTGAGGCATCGAGGTCAGATTTCTACCTGACAAATGATGAGACCCGTGAAGTTGATTGTGTCATTACTTCAGGTTACTAACTTTAAAAAAAACAGCAAATTGGTAAGATAATATAAACATTACAACTTACGTTTGTTTTTTGTTTGTTTTTTTATAGGTGAAGTCCTAAAAATGCTAGAAGCGGAAAATGTAAGTTTGAAGGATGTGACACCAGTGCCACTTGATACACTGTAAGTTTGTGGGTACGTTTTTGAATTATCTTTTTCAAAACAAATTTGAAGATGTTTCAATAATGTCTGCACAGGTTCAGTAATGTGAGTGGAGATGAGTACTTGAGTCATGCAGGTAGCAGCTCTGGTGGATACCTCCATCATGTGTTTATTTATGCTGCTAAACAGTTGTTTGGAGAAGAGATTAAGGAGCTCACATACAAGACCATGAGGTAAGTCTGAGCCAGGGTTTACGGGCCGTACACACTGGACCAAGCGTTGCGTTAGGTTTCTATGCAGAGGGGCGCTCTGGGTGTCAGGACAAGAAGAATGAGACATCCAAGACACAGCAGGGTGTTTGATGCTGGCGGTGTGAACGGGACTTTAGACTTAATATCTATAGAATATGAGTTTTAATTGAGAAATATAATTCCCCACACAGAAACAAAGACTTTCAGGAAGTAACTCTGGAAAGAGACGGTGTTGTCCTGTTGTCGTTTGCAGCTGCTTATGGATTCCGTAATATTCAAAATCTTGTACAAAAACAGAAAAGAGGAAAATCACCCTATCATTTTGTGGAAGTCATGGCCTGTCCCTCAGGTGAGTAATGTTACTGAACAAAGTTTGAGGCTGAAACATTAAGTCAACATAAATAAATTATTTTTCACTGTTTAATTACCAGTAATTGATAATACAATGTTTCAGGTTGCATCAATGGAGGTGGACAAGTGAAACCGGAATCGGGGCAAACCCCAAAAGAGCTTCTCCAAAAAGTGGAAGATCTGTATAAAGCAGACCTTCCAGTTGTGCCAGAAGAGGACGTGCGTGTGTTTGAACTTTATGAGACGTGGCTGCAGAGTGTGGGCAGTGACCGAGCCAGAGAGCTGCTGCACACACAGTACCACACAGTGGAGAAGATGACCAATGGACTCACAATGAAGTGGTGAGCCATCACTACTTTACTACATGTATGCCATACCTTTTGTATCTCTGGTTAGACCAAGTAAGATCTTGTCTTAGAGTGTGTGCACTCTTGCCAAAACCCCAGAACTAAACCTGGACTAGACCAGATCTAGCCTGGCCTTAGCCATGCGTAAACTCCAGTCAATTATTATTTTCTTACATGTCTTGGTACAAAATGAAATTTGTACGATGATGTGGTAAGACCAGGCTAGACCAGATCTGAAAGTTTATGCCAAAAATAAGCACAGATGTGATTGCATACCAGGTTTTCATATTTATTGACTGAGAAAAGCAAACCTAATATATTTTGAATAAAGGTATGATAAAGTGTACAGTATTATGTGCGTTATTAGCAATGTTGTCTATAGAATTTGATTAGGACATGAAAAATGGTCGGTAGGTAAATGTAAAAAATGTTATTTTATTAATAAGAAATAAATATGTTTATTTTAAAGTGACTTTGCGTTTAAATCACATCTACATCTTTTATCCATGTATTTTGTCCACTGGGAAATCCAGTGTGAACCTCATCATATGCAACAAATGAGTATTTTGAGCCAAAGGCGCTGCAGCAGCATGTGTGTTCTACCAGCGGCAGGAGAGACTTGATACGAAGGTTCATATTTTAATTATAGCGTCTTATTGCTACAAAGAACACTACTCTTCCTTTTTAAAGTCATTTGTTTTGATATGTTTGTGTAAGCTCTCGGTTATACAGGGATTAGTGAAAGCAAAGGAAGGTTTCTCACCCATCATCTGTACTTAGGTTTCCCCGACGTTCCATTCATTTTGAGTTGAAATCTTCACTTCATGTTGTCACTGCATCGTGACTTTTGAAGTTATTGGGGATTTCACAATTAATATTTACAGTTTTTGAATGTCTCTGGTCATAAATACTACTGCTCTGTGCATTGTCATTAAGCAGTTTGTCAGGCTTGAGAAGTGCCCACTCCAAAGCCCACATTTCAAGCATCATTCTGTTCTTTTGGTTTTCTAAAATTGTCTATGCGTTGTGCCCTTAAAACCTCTATGGGTTCTGTTTTACTTCTGAACTTTCACTCTTTGGGCAACCTGGGCCTGTTCTATTATTTGGTGATTAGTAATTAGTGACTTCAATAAATTGACAATCTACTAGCTACAGCTTCCCTTTGCCCTAGAAGACATGAAATGGATGAATTTATATTTGATTTATCGCAAAGTAGGACAAAGCAGTGTTTGTTTTATCTGAACTTTTTATACAAAATACCAAATCTTTTTAATTATATACAACATAGTTCTGTAAGAATCAGACATACTTTATATTAGAAGCATTCATTTAATGTTGTCCAATTTGAATTATTTTCTTATGATAAATAAATGGGTATCTGATGTCCGTTTGCATCCAGTATGAAGCATTGTGATTGTGTGCTGCATCATGTATGTGTTAAGTGTTCTATACATGAAGTAGATGGTTTGAAAATAATTTGTTCTCACAGAATGTTAAATAAAAATAATCTGAGAATAAATCCACATCACGCTTTGGGGACGCGGAAAGAGTCTTTTTCCTTTCGAAGGCTTCTCATGGTTTCCACTGGACTTGTTTGTTTTACATGATCTTGCACAGTCTTCTCTCTTAGAAAAAGAAAAAATAATTTTTAAAGATATATAATTTTAACAAAAAGTCCCTGCATTTTCAACATACTTGACTCTCATAAAAGGGTTAAAGGTGAATTCATCAGCCAAAGTAGAGGGAACTGTGGGTTCACCGTTGTCACATTTCTCCTACAGAAAAAATATAATGCCAAATGATTATTTACTTAATTGTAAGTTAATTGGCAGAAAGATTAGAGGTCTGGTTGCATGTGTTATACCATACATACTTTTGCCCATGCAAGCTTTTCCTGAACAACTTCATTGTCTGGTTCCACGTGGCGTGCAAATTTCAAATTGTTGACAGTGTACTCGTGACCACAGTAAACACGCTGGAACAAAACCATTTCACTATTACTGATTCCAAAAACCTCAACAGTAAAACTGGATTAAACTGAATTACAGTTTCCGGAGGGAGCGACCCAAGAATGTCAATCAAAGCTCTGTACATTTGTTCTGCTGTTCCCTCAAAAAATTTACCACAACCGGCAACAAAGAGAGTGTCTCCTACAGAAAGTACAAACAAAAGCCTTTAGGAACTAGTTGTAAACATTAGAAAAGGACATTGTTATGATGAAATACCTGTGAAAACAGCAGGTGGGTCACTGCTCTTTTCTTTTGTTACATAGTAGCACACATGCCCTGTAGTGTGGCATGGTGTATGGAGACATTTAATATGAAGAGTTCCAATCTGAAAAGGAAAAAACATACAAATATTTTGGCTATTGTTCTATATTTAAATATATAGTGCTAGTATCAATTACTTTAAAGTTGTGAGCGTCTGGAACTTTCTTTGTAATAGCATCAACCCTGTCATCAGCGCCATAGACCCTGAGACCTGGCATCAACTTCACCATCTTCTCATTACCCCCCGCATGGTCCCTGTGAAGAGTGTTCTATTATCAAAATTAAAATCACACGGAACAGTCAACACATACAATATTATATGATTATATCCAACAGCTTGAATACTTTCTAAAGTAACTAATGCCATGTCACAGGCCTTGGTACTTTGCTCTGCTAAGTTTCCAAGGACAAAGATAATTTGGCGTCTTATTGATATGATAACAAATGTATGATGACATTGAATCGCGATGTCTATATTTTATTTGTCACCAATCTTGTAAATTAACCCTACTGTACCAATGGTGATGTGTGGTCAAAACAGTTGTGAGCTTAACTCCATGTTTTCTGACAGCTTCCACAACCTGTGTGTGAATGGAAGATATGTTTGGTCAGGTAAGGTAATTAAAGTTTTATTATATTAAATCCATACTGAAGGTCCTTACCTTTATGGGCTCTACTGGATCCACAATAGCAGCCTCTCTGGTGTCTGTATCGATCAGCAAGTACATGTAGTTGTCAGACAGTGCAGGGATCAGTTCAACCTTCATATTTGCTTGTTCCACCAGAGAATTTTTCCGGACAACAGTGTGAAGCAGAGCAGCTGACTGGGCCTGGATTTCAAATGGAGCTTAAGGAAAATAAACACAGTTAGCTATATAGCTAGTACAATACAAATACAAATAAAACCCGAACTAAATGATAAACCCCGATTGCATTTCCGCAAAGTGTATAAGTAAGCGAAGGCTGACAAAGAATGACTCAGGCCTTTGGTCAAGACCTGACAGCTCCTCCTCCGCTGTCGCCTGTCAGAAAGGTAAACATGCGGACCGTAATCGCTAACATAAACAACGCCACGGTTTGGGAGATCCACACATGGATGTATTATATTAACCACATGAGATGGAGAAGGGGTTAGCAAGACACGTACCAAGTCTGAGGGTTGTCACAGCTCCTACCAGAGTGCATGCACCCCTAACCAGTGTCTTCACTAACATAACAAATGCAAATAATCAGATCTAATAATGAAATCCAGGAAAGTCGCTACAGCTTTAATGCAGTTCCGCGTCCGCCCATTTTCAACTTTGACATCCAAGATTCCACCAATCCACGTCGGGGGTGTGATCGAGAAGGTGGTAAACAATCATAAATAAACACGTAAATTGTGATAAATATACAATCTTAATATCTATTGAAACATAGATAGACAACTTCTTGAACCATCAGATCATTATTATGTTTTTTTTTCTTTTTTTAATCGTTTTACTCAAGGTGTATTTTGTCCTTTGACGCTTCTCGTAGGTTAGCCTTCTGACGTGATGTGGGAGTGTGAGGGTCAAAGTTTGGTGTGATAATTTGACAGGCACAAACTACTTCAGAGCGGCGGAATCTGACCGAGAATGGCAACCGCAAGAAATATAAGTCGATTTTGGGAGTGGGGCAGGAAAATAATTTGTGTCGGAAGAAACTATGCAGATCACGCTAAGGAGCTGAAAAACGCTGTTCCCACAGAGCCCATACTTTTCCTGAAGCCGCCGTCAGCCTACGTAAAAGAGGGGTCTCCCATCCTGGTGCCCCTGTACACCAGTGACCTGCACCATGAGGTGGAGCTGGGGGTGGTCATAGGCAAAGGGGGCACCAGCATCCCGCAGGCGGACGCTATGGAGCACGTCGCTGGGTATGCACTGTGTTTGGACATGACTGCCAGAGACATCCAGGACCAGTGCAAGTCCAAGGGTCTGCCCTGGACCATGGCCAAGGCTTTCAACACGTCCTGTCCGGTCAGCGAGTTCATCCCCAAAGAAAACATCCCGGATCCCTCTGATGTCAAGCTGTGGCTGAAGGTCAACGACCAGCTGCGGCAGAGCGGCTGCACTTCTCAAATGATCTTCTCCATCCCCTTTCTCATCAGCTACATCAGTGACTTCATCACCCTGGAAGAGGGGGACCTCATCCTGACCGGGACCCCCAAAGGCGTGTCAGCTGTGCAGGAGCATGACGAACTGCAGGCTGGAATAGAAGATGTGCTGACCATGACTTTTAAAGTAAACAGGCTAGAACTTTGACGAGTGTCGTGGACGTCAGGACTGCATAATACTTATACGGCTCAATTGGAAATCACTATAAGGTGCTGTTACTTAGCGCCCTACAGGTGGCAGCAGTTGTTCAGGTTTTACCCCTTGACTTGTGCATAGTCATAGTTGTCCATAGTGTCATTTGTACACAGGGCCCTGAGCTGTGTAACTATTGTTAGACAACTAATAAACTATTGTTATTGTAAGACAATACTGGGGGTATTGTCTTTTTCATGTTCCACCCTGACATTTTCAATTTAATAAAAAACAACAACAACAAAAAACCTTTTGGAAACTATTTGTGTCATGGATTCATGTGGTTACTGTGTGTTTTATGAGATGATCTTTTCTATGTTCTAAATAATTTGAATATAGTAATATCCTCTGACAAATGCAAGCCCCATTCTGGTGAAACCGTTGTGCATTAGCTTTTTGATCAACCGGAGTAGACTACTCGAGTTCTCCCACAGGCCTCTCTGTTTTCAGGATCAATCAGAGCCTCTGTCAACCTGTCCCGGGCCAGTCTGGTGTAACCTGACTCTGTGTACATCATCTCTCCACACCTGAAGGCACGTTATCCCTGGGATTCACACAGCACTGTGCCCCGGTCCTGACGGCGCCCTGGGCTCATGTGTCCATCACTGAACAAGGTATGACGGTTCATTTAGATGTGGCATCAAGGGAGGCAGCCACTTTCTCACACCAATCATCCGCCGAGAATGTCATCATCTTTTTATCATGCATATTGTCCCATTGAGCCTGGCTTTACAATAGATTCAAAGTTCCACCTCGGAAAGCGAACGCCATCATGAACACCGCATTAGCAGAATGTTGTCATTGCAAAGGACTTGGAAGGTGACACTTTGAAGGCAATGATGTCACTGGAAATCAAAACGCTGAAACTAAGCCATGCTTGGATAGAGTAGGCGTCCTTTTCACCAGTGCTGAACATTTATACCCTCAATAATCCCAGCATAGTCCCAAACAAGACCTCCAACAAAAGAGAGAAGAGAATGTGGGAAAATGAGACTTTTAGTGTGTGTGACCTGTGACAATGCTGGTCTGAGGCTGTCTGCTTGAATCGTCCTGTTTTAGCCTAGTCAGTTAAAACAAGATCTTTCATTTCCCTTTGAGTCCAGAAATTCTATTCATAACGTAGACTAATATTTATTTGATTTGAAACACAACATTTTAACTGATACCCACCCCTCAAGTTTCTCACTCCCATTGTCTTAATTTTTATTATACCATTTGGGAAAAAACCTGAAGCAAAAACCCAAATAACATTTCCATCAAATAGTGTTGGGAGCCACCACAAAAGAGGGAGAGAGAAATCCCTGAACATGTCTTCCCTGAGTTGATGGATTTTGTGGTTCAGGCGAAAACGCAGGGACCATCTTCATCTTGTGGCAAACCACTTAAACACCATAATCCTCTCTCCCATCGTCATCGCCTCGCTTCCCATCCGTCTCCGCAGGACCCCTCCCTCCAAATGTTCCCCTTTACTTTTGCATGTGCTTGGTTTGTTCATAAATAACAGCTACCTCATCCTACTCTCATCACTTCTAATCTCACAAATACCAGTGTCCCTGTAATACCATCCATGTCAGGACTTTTTCACTCAAGCAAATGAAGCCGTTCTGAGGAAATTATAGTATGGCTTGAAATTGTGGTTTAAAATGTTGGAAAACTGCATTTATAGTAAAGGTTGACAAATTGCTTTTTTTAGTAAGTAGAGATTTATGGATTTGGTTATATGTAATCAAAAATATGTTTTCGAAAAGTTAGCCTTTCATTATAAAAAAAAAAAACATATCTTGTTATGTGTTAAAATGAGATTGAGAATGAGTTGAAACATGGTTTTTCTTTTAAAATCTTTTCAATTGTGTAAGAACCTCATTTCCAGAAGACTGTTATTTTACTCTGTTTGCAACATGTAGGTATAATTAGCATTTTCTTCTCACAGTTTTTAAAGCATTGTGAATTATTACTATTATTTATTTAGGACTATGGTGATGATCCAGGACACTTTAACATTCTAGAACATGTATGTGTTATATACAGTATTCTTTTCTTCTCTGATCTGTGTTGGTGAGTCAGAAAGTATCTCAGGTTAATTTTCCAAGATAATTCTCTCTAAAATAACTATTAGCATTGCTTTCTTTTTATATTATTAACGAATAATTTGAAACATTTGAAAATTATAAAACTAATGTAAGGGCAATAATTTTGTGTGATATAAAGGGCAATTCATCCTCTGCATTTGACCCATCCTGATGCCGCTAAGGCCTACGTCAGGAGCAGTGGTCGCCGTAGTAACAGCGCCCGGGAACCCATCTCCAGTTGTTTATGCTCTGCTTGGTCAGGACTACCGGAGCTGGAGGATTTTACCTAGTGTGCATATTTTTAGTGGTAGGGGAAACCAGACTACCTGAAGAAAACCTATGCAAGCACGGGGAGAACATGCAAGACCCCTTTACGACCAGGATTGAAACCCAGGACCTTCTTGCTGAGAGGCGAGAGTGCTATGCCGATGTCATACAATTATAAGACCATGACAGGAACAAAATTGAGTCAGAACTTCCTGATATTGGCGTGGATGAATCTGAAAAACAACTCCAGGTCTGTGGCTGATGTAACAATGTTGTAAAATTCTTGTTCTTGTCTGCTAGGGAAGCCATTTTAAAGTAATGTTTTGTTCTGTTCTTTGGTTAAATGCATTCTACAACGAGAGAACCATAAAGATGAGAAGGCTTCCTAAGTCCTCCGACATCTTTCATAATTACAGGCCGTGGCGAATGCAGACGGTGCATGTGGTGTCCCCGTGTGGAAGCGGTCAGCGGGAGAGTGTGAGAACCAGCTGTGCGTGCATAAAAAAGGCACCCATGTTAGCTTACGGACATGAAAAACTAGGAATGCAATAAGGTCGCAAACATTGAGACGTAAAATACAATGAAAAAAGTAAAGTCAAAGATTTAGAAAAGGTTTTTAAGTACATTGTAAGTTTGGTAAGAAGCATTTATCACTGACCTAATAACACGCATTAAAAACACAAATGTAAAATCCAATTTGATTCAAACAGCTCCAAGTTCAAATCACGGAAAAATAATGCACAAAAGATCAGTTCATTTGCAAAAAACGATATCTCAGTTTTGGAAATTTGTCAAAAAGTTGTTATTTGCAGTAAATTTGAAAGATTTCTTTTTAAGAAGGGGTGAAACTATAACGGAACGGCACTACAGTAGATCTGGATTATCAAAAAACTACTTGAAAGGAAAGTCTTAAGTCTATCTAATATTTTTAATGGTACGTTTCTGTTTTTTGCAAATGAACAATTCATACATTTTACAGTAAAAAAAAAATCTGAAAGTAGAAATGTTCTGTATGGTTTCACATGGTACATTTGAGGTAACTATGAAGTAAAGGCAGTTTCAGTCGTGATATATGTAGTAGATTGAGTAATACTGTTAAAAGCATGATAGTGGCTTGTCAAATGTCAATGGTCGCTTTAGAATAAATAGCCTCAGTTAAATAAATCTACATCTTAAAAGGCATGAGTGCTTTCCTTTGGTCGGTCATTATATACAAACTGCAGTTCAATCGTCCTTTCAGGCATCATGGATCAAGAATCAATCCTTTTCCACCTGATAATAAACATTGTCTTCAAATTGAGCTATACAAAGCGTTCATGCTATGTGAGGCTAAACAGCTGGATCAGACAAACTCGATAAAGGCTTTCCTTGTCTTTGATTGTTGATTATCTGTTAAAGCTGGGGAACTTATCTTTTTTTTTTTACATAATACATGTTGTCTCAAAAATACAGTAAAACTTTCTGAAAAAATCACCCCGACAAATGTCTTCATCTTAGTAGAAAACATGTTAAGTTTTTGGGCTGAGAGCTGATTGGCTGAGAGAGGACGGGCCGCTATTTTTCACATTTCTGCCTTAAAAACGCCAAAAAATAATCTAAAGATGTGGCCAAAAACACCAATACTAGAATTAGAACCAAACTTTTTTTAAGAGCGAGAAACTAGATGGATTTTATTGCATAGATTTTGTGGTCTGAAAACAAAATCAGGTACCCGAGCTTTAATTTGTGCAGTCTTCATTTCATTGCGCCCAATAGTTCTTTTATTCTGTCCCTGAGAACATTTCCCGACACAACTTCACACGCACAATTTCCTTTGGGATCAATAAAGTATAAATCTATCAAACGTAATTTTTGATAAGGGCTGCATTTTAGTTATTGCTCAGTCCCATCCAAAGTTCTGTCCGCTCATCTGATAGAACAGCTTGTTGTAGGGTCTGTAGAATTGCCGGAGTCTCTGGAGCACCTCCGTGGGGATCTCTGGGTGTGTTCTGCCTTTGGACTTGCCCAGACAGCGCGGCCTACTGCTCCCCTCCGGCTTCTTGAGACACGGAAAACCCTTGGTCTCATTGAAATAGAAATGTTTGTCTGACACGACTCTTTTCAGACCGAGAAAGTCCTGGACCCGCCCCATCTCCCCAGCCGGGTCGGACACCAGCCTCTCTCCGCTGACGAAGAGAAAGAGGTTGCGGGGGAAGTGCCGGAGCCAGTTGTCCATGTGTTTGGCGTACAGTCCGATCCGCACCGCGCTCCAGGTGTCATCGATCTCTTCACCGGAGGAGTTTTTGTAAGCCAGGCTCTGGAACGAGGGGAGGCCAGGGCTTTTGGTCAAAGTTTGGGTGTAATCTGAAATGGCTCTGGTTACGGGGTCCCGCACCACCACGATGAGCTTGGTCTGACAGTTCATGGAGCAGATTCGAGCGGCTGCTTCTTTAGTCACAAAGTAGCTGGGGGTCTTCTCCATGGTGATCTGGCCGTCCAGCGTCCGTGGCATCAAGTTCCTACGCAAGAAAAATACATCAGTCAAGCACAGAGCAGGTGATGGGAGAGAGGGGTAGGGTCAGAGAGTGTTTGGGCCGGTGTGTATTTATGCGTTTTGTGTGTCCAATACCCCATGGAAGGGTATTGTATATTACTGTATGTCAGGTGTCTCCAACCTTTTTCACACAGAGAGCTAGATAAAGGCAGAGAGCTACTCCTTTAAGCGTCGCTGGGAGAAATTTGGTGATATATTGGTGTGAACAAGCCCGAAATCGAGTACAGTCATTATTTACCACTGCTTATTTGTTACAAGCGACACAAAGTAAGTGCAATTACAATAATAAATAATACTAATGAATAATAAAATGTGAAATATTGAACATATTATTTGATTGGTTCATTTCTAAATCCTTTGGCGAGCTACCGGTGGCTCCCGAGCTACAGGTTGGAGACCACTGCTGTATGTACTGCACAGTATAAAATTTACAATCAGTATGTTGATTATTTGTGTTCTGCAGGTTAAACTAAACTGAGATTGTATTGTAACAGTTTATTGTGTTGCGCTGCATACAGAAATGACAATGGTTATGAAGCAGAAAATAAATGCGCAAACATTTTACATTTTTTGTCCCTTCCCTCCCTCCTATGGGTCCACCCTTCCCAATATAAATACACACATACTCACACACACACATACACACACATGCACACGACCCTTCTAACCCCCCTACCCCCATTCTCCAGATATCAATGACATTTCATTATTCACTTATAATTATAATTGTAGACACATAATATATAAAACTTCCTCCGTTATTGACATCCTACAGAAGCCGCAGCATATGCATGGTCGTATGTACAAAAAAATAAAAAAATAAAAGAAAGATAGATATTGATTTTACGTAGATCTGTGCATAATACACTGGTGAATGGGCTATACAAGTTTGTTTAATCAATTAGACCAGCATATTACATTTACCACTTCAGCCTTATGAACCCGGACAACTAAGATTGTATTGTTGAGGGTTCTGAGAAACAACAAATTATCAAATGATTACATGTTGTTGAGTTGTCTCACCTGGTTCCTCGTATTAATCTCAAACTTTGCTCTGATGAGTCACAGCCACAAATAACTTACTGTAACTGTAACTTTGTGCGCATTTTCTAAGCCTCTGGAGAGCAAAGTACGACGCAGAGGAGCCTATACTTACAGATTATTTGTGTAAAATTACTGGTTAAATAATGGGACTGAATGTTGAGCACCACGGACAAGTTAAGAAACCCTTTTTGCTCAGAGAATCGCTAATCACTATGTCACGCCAACATTTAGTTTGTTGTGCTCAGAATGGGTGAAAACGGCCTTGTGGTGTATCTGGGTTTTGTCTGTAGAAATTAGAGAAATGTCTGTAGTTAATTTTCCAAGTTTACAGTGTTTTACTGGAAGCAAAATCTTTCATGTGGCTTTCATCAAAATAAACACATGCGTTTTTGTGTATTCCAATTGTCCATCCAAGAATGCAGTTCATTCAAACTCATGATTTACTGAAGTATTTGGAACTTGTTTTCATGTGTTCAGACATGTTGTTGACAAGATTTGTTTTTAAAAGGAAATCAAATACATTTTTAGCATCAAATGAAAGGATAAAGAACATGCGGCAGAGGCTTAGTCTGATTCTATTCACTGTAAGTAAGTGAGTAATGTTTTTTATATAGCACGTTTTACATTCCAAGGTCACCAAAAGCACTGTGTGAGATTTCAATCATTGATCGTTGTTGTTAGATTCAGATTCATATGTGTTCTGGTTCTGGGACTATTGGGCTTTAACCATTAATAACAACCTGTTTTTTACATACATTTACATTGTTGGGAACGTGTTAATGTGAGATCTTTGTTGCAAATATGTGTTTTAGGGCTGCCTATTTTATTCTTTCTGTATAATGTGTTGCACTGTTGGGAAAAGCAACACACAATTGCAAACAGCTTCTTTCCACAAGCTGTTATCAGATTAAACTGAGCACTTTTAATGATCTTGCCTCTGTTTTGAAACTGTTTTAGTTGATCGATTTCACAGCGTCAATGGTTTGCTGCGCTTAAAAAAAAATAAAAATACAAATGAAAGTTCCTGTACTTTTTACCTTGTTTTATTTATGTCTTGTGCACACTGGGGACTTTTTCGAATGTATTCCAATGTGGTTTTACTGCAAATGGCAAATAAAATGAAATGAATCTGAATCTGAAAAGAAGTTGAAAAAAACAAGCAGTAGCTACACACTCTTGCATCTTTCATTGTAACTATATATTCTGTAACTACATTGTCCCTGTCAAAAATGGTAATAAAATAAATTAGTTTGAACTATGTAAGTTATTCCGCTCTTAAAAATGTGAGTAGAAGTATTTTATGAGATTGAATGTGAAAAAATACTTTGTCCAGTTTGTGACAGTGGAGAGGATGTTGCAAAGTTATGAAGACAACAATAAACAACTAATCTGCTAATCAATCACTCAAGTTTCTGAGATAATTTTACATTTTCCAACATCTCAATTCATCCCGTCAAATGAAGACTTTAATTGATCTATGGCTAAGTAAAGGAGCTCCAAATGGCCTCCTCATGGCTGCCTGTCCAATCAATATGTCTGTCTGTCTATGAGTGATTACTTACTGCTCTGTGTAGGTATAGTGGTGTACAGTCGTGGATATGTCCTTCACCACTGTCACTCCAGCAAATGACCATAACTTGGCTTCTATACTCATGAATTGTTAATGAGCTCCATTCTGGTCCCTGTCCTGCTGTCACTGGATAATCAATACAGTCCATTTTGCCTCATAAATCTGAGGTGTCAAACTGTAAACAGATCAACCATGATTCATAGCGTGTCAAGTCTGTCATTATTTGTGGATGTGTTTGTCACTTGTACACAGAACCAGAAAGCATGTATTTACAAGGTCCAAGGTGACTTCAAACTACTTGTACCCATGGGTAGATTCTTCTTGCAGTTAAAACGAGAGACAGAATCTACACAAAAGTATGAATAAAATCACATTTACAGAAATAACAATAAAAACACAGATAAGTAAAAAACAGAAGTTATAAAGAAGGTGAAAAATAGGGTTGCACGATATTGGAAATTAAAGCGATATTCGATATGAGTGTTTAGTGTTGCGATAACAATATTATTGCAATATTTTTTTCTTTCACCTAAAATTGCAATCTGCATTGAAACGCAAGAGACAAATTACATTAATGACATTCAAATGCATATATTTATATACTTGTTTTTTTTTTGTTGTTTGTTGTATTTGTTGAATGTTGATGCGTCTGTCTGTTTTGTTGTCTTTAATAAAGGAAAAAAAATATATATATATATATATATATATTTTTCTATTGCGCATAGTTTTTAATATGGATATCGCATGCATGCACCAATATCACAGTAACAATATTTTTTCAATATATCGTGGAGCCCTAGTAAAAAGTGTCAAAAGGTGCTTAGTTAGGACTCCAGAGCTCATTTCTGAGTAAAAACCAGAGTACAAGAGTAGTTAGTAATTGCAGTAGATCAATCGGGACATCATCACCACACCTCAACCACTGCCATATGTGAAACACTGAACATTATGGGATATTCTGGCTGTATTTGGATGTTTTTGATTTAGTCATTCACACATTGGAAATTGCCTTGCTAACAGGTCACATAAGCCCGGAACTCCCTGCTGTGAAAAGAAAAGTGCTTTTACCTGTTGAAATCTGGTAACACTATACTACTGATACAGTGTATTCTCTGCTGCCGGTACAGTATGTTCAAAAGTGTAAGTGCAAAATCTTGGCAATAAGGTCCCAAGGCTTCCTGTCATTACTAATATAAGTGGTTTAATAGGAGTAATATAGATTCCCTGGAGAGTGCAAGCCTGTGGCCAACACGGCTGTGTAGAATAAAACGTCATTATCAAGTAAATACGGAAATGGAAGCAGGAAGTGATAAATTGAACAATAAAGAGAGATCCATGCGGGGGTCTCTAATACACATTTGGCCCGTGTGACATGATTTATTTAACAACTCAGGCTTGCTCAAAACTAGTTTCAAACGAGTAATTTTGTTCATGGCAGTAGTAGCAGTCACTTACTGTAAGTTCAATTCAATTATTTTGTATACCCTTAAATCACAACAGCAGTCGCCTCGGAAGACAAAGTTGTCGATTTCTCAACTAAGTCAGTTCAGTCAGTTAGAAGGACTGTTGCGTTTGCCTCTGAGCCGAGTCCGCTTGAACAATACATGTGAATGCGTACTAAAACCTTCTGGTAGGAGCTGGTAATGCTATAGGACTCTGACTGCTATTGTTTAGTGTGAGTAAAGCGCTAACAAAGATCCTGCAGAAGGTCACTGGTGTCAAAGTGCTTCACTGTGCTTCACTGTGCTGACAAAGGATCATTTTTGTGACGAGGACCTCTACTATAGAGATGTACTCGGCCCCCATACTGTCTCAACGCCCTTTTCTAAAAAGTAACAGCAGAAACAGGAGTCGTCTCAATGTATCACAGCAATTAACTTGTTAGGAGCAAGTGTCCCCTGAGGTCAAGACCAGTGTTGGGTAAGTTACTTTGAAAATGTAATTAGTTACAAATTACTAGTTACTTCTAAAAAAAGTAATTAGTTACATTACTTAGTTACAGCCCCAAGAAAGTAACTAAGTTACATTACTTTTGGATTACTTCGTGTCACAAAAAAGAGAACAGAATCAAGTTTGTATGTTTGCTTTATTAAAGCCATTTAAATAAAGGTCAACAACAAATCAAAACTGGCTCAAATGGCATAACATTAACGAAAGTAAATTACTATAGCAGCCAGGACAATTAAATTAAGGCAGTTTAGTCATCAAGACTACTGGCTGGTAGTGCAAAAAAAACATTTTTAAATAATAAAATAAAACTATTTAAACAACAACAACCTGAGTTTCATTTTAACATATCAAAAGTGCAGAAAGTAACAGTTTAACTGTTTAACAACTAACTCTAATGTTGTTGTTTTTCAAAGTAATGGTTGTACCTGAGTAGCAATAGTTTCTCAAATCGTTTAGCTGACCACCTATTCCTTCTTGGAGTTTCTGAAAGACGGCGACTCTACAGTAGAAATGGGCAGCATCTCTTCTACAACGTACGCCGCTACAAGTCTATTTATTTCAGTCTTTGAGGTTACCTGACAGCGTAATTCAAGTCGAGCTTGCTTATTATATCGTGTTGGTGTTGTGCTGTCGGAGGAGGAGGAGGAGGAGGAGGAGGAGGAGGAGGCGGCTTCGCTGCGACGCTCTTTAGCGACTAGCTTAACAGTTGAGTGTTGACGCTGCAAGTGTTTTAAAAGGTTCGAGGATGAGTTGGCTGCGGTGGACAATCGCTTGCTGCCCGCGCAAAGCTTGCACTCCACGACAACGTTTTTATCTTTTTGACTGATGTAGTTGAAATAGTGTGCATATCTCCACCGGTAAAAAGAACTCTTCTCCTCTGACTCTGCCATGTTGCTTTACAAACTTTTTTTTTTTTTTTTTTTTTTTTTTTTTTTGCTTTACAAACAATCTCGCTCATGTGCGCAGCGTGACGTAAGCACGCAGGCACGCATGGAGCGGTAGTGCAGTTCTCCCCTGCTTTCCCGAGGCCGGTGCCGCCGGTAACGAAGTATTTAGGTAGTAACTGTAATATAATGAAACGTATTTTCATAATAACGCGTTACACTACTACGTTACTCAAATTGTAATTTCGTTACAGTAACGCGTTACTTAGTAACGCGTTACACCCAACACTGGTCAAGACTAACAAAATAAAATATACTTCCAAAGACTGTATGTAAATGTCACTCTAAATCAACCTGTCAAGACCCCTGGGAAATTATGTACAGATATGATTTTGTTATGTTTTTACTTGGTATTTTTGCTCAGAATATTTTTTTTCTTATTTATTTATTTCAATTGTGGACAGTAAAGCTGCATTACAACACAAATACGTTTCATAATTGTATCCCACCAATTCGCTTAGTTAAAAACAGATGGTAAAATATACTATTGTAGTATCATGACTTCTAATAATCATAATAATATATATGTTTCAACATTTGGCTTGAGTCTGACTACAACGACCACACTTTTTATTCCTGCATATATAAAACCTTTTGGGGAAATTAGGAGATTAGGAGGCAGACTGTGTGTCGTAGGTGGCTCCACATGTGTGTGGCAGGACCTGTTTCAATGATGGGGTAATTTGTGTGTGGTGCATGACGTCCAGGCTTAATGAGGACCACCGACAGGAAGTGAGGTCACGGATGCCAGCTCAAACTTTAAGGCTTTCCATTTGAAAGAAGAGCGCAGAAGGACAAACATTGGTGAGCGTGCACTGTGTAATGTCTGATGTGTACTTTATGTTGGCAACAAACACAAATGTCTATTCTCCATTTCAATAAACTGTGCCATGAGTTAAGGCTGCCTACTGTGCACGACAATGTACCTTAAATGATCATTTTCACCACATGGGATGCAAGGGAACACCCCCAGCACGTAACCAACCCTCCACGCACAGCAGTCGGTGTTTAAAAAGACCACTTCCTGCTCTGTTACACCAATCACCTTTTGCCTTTAAGCTGAACAGCAGAACAAGGTGTTGCCCTCCTGCTGGAAATGAGTGTTGTACCAACTTATTCCCACATTACAGAAGTGCAATAACTATAGAAGAAGAACTATACTTGTTTTTCATTTTGCTACATTGAACATTTATTGGCTAGGATGTACTGTATGCTGGCAAGTTATTGTGACAGGCTTCTTGGATCTTGATACTTCCAATTAGGGCTGCTAGAATAGTCACTGTAAAATCACAATTAAGTCATAATTATCAAATCTCAAAAGCTGCAATTATTGAAGTCTTTTGCATATGACAAATGACCCAGTCAGTTTATATAGAACTTAGACAAAAGCCACTTTTTGCACTATACTAAACTGATTGATCCATAAAGGAAAATACTTCCATTCGCTGAAAGATATAGGATTTTCTGTAGGTTTAATTTGTCAATTTCACACCCAAACTTTGCATTGTTTGAACCCACTGAACAATGCAATTTAACCGTAGTTACAAGTTTAACAAAAAAATCAAGAAAAGTATTTTTTATCATGCATCTAAACAACTTAAACTTGTATAACTGGAACATTTTACATTCACTAACAACTGCCTTTAGGCCGTATCTTCTTGAATTAAGATGGCACTTATTCATTGGGCAATAATGCGTCTGGTAGTCTCATGCTTGTTCATTTATGCCAAACCTTTTACACAAGTCTCTCCCAAAAAAAAACAACTTCAGGTCTTTTTTTCTTGAACTGAATGTCCATAAATCTCTTCCCTTTCAAAGTTCATTGACGTGGCTCCAAAGGATCCACGATAAATGCTGATGGGAATCCAATTGTGCCAATGGCCTTTGTTGCCTGATTTCTAGGTCAGCACAATGAAATGAAATGAAATGAGGATAAGATGTTTAATTGAAAACCCTAAGAGAATCAGAAAAGCAATGAATCTGATATGATTGTGAAAAAGGAGTGTAAATATCTAAAATATCAGTGTGAAATATGCCAATTATTCTAACAATGCTTTAAACAATATCACTATATGTTGTGAGACTATATATAGTCTCACAACAACAAGGGTTAGGTATAGACTTTCAAGGCACCCATGGAAAATGTGCGTATCCAACTTCAAACAGAAAGGAAAAATATATAAGCAAGTTCTTCCAAAACCACATAATGGTGACAAGGCCGTGACAATCAGGACCATTGTGCCATAAGCCAACGTTTGGGAATCTTCTGTGGCCTGCTCTTTAATCCCACATAAAACCCACGACTCTCGTTAGTCCATTTAGAGCCATAAAACAACACAGACAATCATTACATCTTCACTTGCTTCATTTTGGTAAGCCATTTGTGGCTTTTCCATTCCCGTAATGAGGTTTTTGGTACACACATGCAAACAAGACAACATAGGCAAACTTTCTTATGACACAAAAATGAATATGTATATGTGCACTATAGATAGACTGTACATCAGGTCTGCTGTTGGTATTTATGAAACAGAAACATGCTGGGGAAATGGGAACATGGAGGAACATGGGTTCATTAGAGAAGAAAGGGGAGGATGTGGTGAGGATGAGGGGCAGTTTATGTGGTAAAGGGAGACAGACAAGTGAAGGAGATAAGGCTCAGGAGTGTGTGTTTGTGTGTGTATGCGTGCACACACTTGTGCGATTTAGCTGAAATTAACAGTGAGTGCTTCCATGTGTCCGTATGCTAGTACTTAAGATACAGCTAAGGGCTTAGGCTGATTAAATTACAGTTTTTGGGTTATCCGTCAGGCCCTTGTTTGTCAGAGCTCTAACGTGCGTACCACATGTTGCTAAGGTTTATGTGTGGTATAGATTATTAAGCATAATATGGCCCCCTGCACTGTGCATGTACAGGGCAGACTATATAACACAGACTGTAATAAGTATACTTAATGCTTCACAGGGCTTCATTAATTCACTCCATACACAATGGTGGTCAACTACACTGTCGCCAGAGCTGCCCTGGGTCAGACTGTGCAAGGCAATAATCTATACCATAATCTGACCATCACCAGCCATTCTCTCACATACACACAGACTCATACTGGTGAGCCTAAAATCTACAAACCCATTCGGTTTCTAAAATAAATTGTAAAACAAGCAGTTGGCCTATTTGCTGAACATTATTCTTCACATTCAGTTAAGATATAAGGTTTGCACTGTATCTATCACTGTTACTGGAAGTTGAATCCAACCTTGCTTTCAAGGCTGCAGATCTTCAGGTTTATAATTCATTAATTAAAAGCAGTTGAAAAACAAACGCTGAAAACATTAGTGAAATAGCCTACTTGACTTGTAAGCTATACATATAACATAAATCAAACATGCAAACTATATGCCATAAAAGCGTGCGTACCTGTACCAATCTAGACCTTTGTCGTAAAACCTGTCGAAGAAGTGCGGCTCTGCGCCCACGGCTCTGACGTCTGGGTGAATGCGCAGGAACTCCAGCAGAGCCCGGGTGCCTCCTTTCTTCACCCCGATGATGATCGCCTGTGGGAAGCGCTTGGCCCCGAACGTGTTGGACACCGGGAGGCTGCTGCTGGGAGAGCGTCCCACGTCCACCTGCTGAGCGTCACTGCTGTTGTGCGCGTCAGGGAAGACGCGGGGCGACAGTTCATCTGTAAAATCATAGTCCATGAAGTTGTCTGTCCGGTATAAAGTCCTGGGAGCAGAGTTGCACAGTCCGCTGAGGCAGTAGAAGCAGTAGGAGAAGATAAGGAGCATGGTCAAGGACAAGGACGCTTTGGACAGCACCTTTCCGGAGTTGAACCTGCCTCTGCATCCGCTACATCCCATGAGTTGATTTTCTCGGAACCAAAGAACCAAAACAGCATTCTCCTTCCTCCAGTGACCACAGTGCTCTTTAAACAGTTCTGGGAAGGATCAGAGAAGTCTGCGGATATGAGGAGCAGCGTGTCTCCCAGCGCTTCATCCTGTGTCAAACTTATGTTTCGGAGCAGTGTGCGCACAGCTCCTCATCAATCTCTCCTTCAAGATGCGCGTCTCATACACGCCCCTAAGTCTCCACCCTTCTGCGTGCAGATGTAGCACTACACATTCATATACACATATACATATACATATACAGAATATGATTTCAAAAAATGAAATATAAAACATTACAAGTGTCAGGTGCCAGTAAACTTCACATTCGGTGCATGTTTATGTGACACTAAAGACAGTGCTTTTGGTTTGCCCAATGTAAACCACAAACACATGCAAACTTCACTCAGGAAAGACCCTGCTCCAACCAAGATTCCAACCCAGGAGCTTCTTGCTGAGAAGCAAGTGTGCTATACCACTCAGCCACCGTGCCGCCCCAGACTAATTGCCAATCTGTAGTTATGAAAAGAAAGCCACCAGTTGCCATAATATTAAAGCTGGGGTACCTGACTTTCAAGCCACCGAAGGAGATGTGTTTTATTGTTTTAACTTATAACTGACAGTTTTTACTGCTGTGGTTGTACGTTATGTTCTATTTAAACACATCCAAACAACAATCAAAGACATATTGGCTTATTCCAACAAAGTCAATGTTCTAAGAAGTGTGTGTTGTCAAGGCTGAAGTTGGCTGTTGTTGAGGAACAAAGTCCGCTGGTTTAAGCAAATAAATAAAATGTTGGTTTGTTTATTTATGGACAGCTTAGAGTCGGTCAAAATGTTCCACATGACAAACTCCGGTCCAATGCAGCAGAAATAGGAAGTAATAGTAGAGTAACACAAAATCACAGTTACAATTGTTTCTTTATATATATTCGTATGATTTTTTTTGTTGCAGGGAGGGAAAAAAGGGGGGGGGGGGGGGGGGTGGCAGGGAGGCAATGGACCCTTTTCACATTTGGACACTGCACACACTGGTTCCTTCATAAGCACAGGTCGTCAGCTCTGGAGTCCTCTGCGTTTAAACCTAGATCTTTCAGTTTAAACATTTGGTCATTGAGTCAGATCCTCTTGATGGTGCCAGAGATAAGTTCGGGAGAAACAGATAAAACGTATTGCATTAACGCGGCAATGTCCACAAGTATTATTCTTATCATCATAATACGGCAATTCATTCATACTATTAATGGTGGTACGGTCAGCTACTACTGTAGCCATAGCTGCCCTGGGACAAACTACAAAGGTTGGGGTTCATTCAGAACTTAGTTTTTGTTCTTGGGACCGTAACAGACTTTTGACGATTGCGTCTCCGCATCTGCTGAGGATAGTGTGGTGCGAGGCCCTCCTGAGGGTCCTGGGTCTGCTGCTTGGAGGGATTCTTCTTCAGAAAGTTCAGTTCATATTTCAGGCGTAGGTTCTCGTCGACGGCCTCTTTCATTACCTCCTTGAATTTGCTTATCCGCTCTTCCATTTCTGCAATAACAAAGTTGTTCAGGACAAAGTTCTCTCTAAACTCCTCCAGCTCCAGCAGTTCTTTCCTTCAGCTCATAATTACCTTTCCTCAGGTGCATCTCCTGCATTTTGGTCTTCAGCTCATCAATATAAAGGCCAGCATCTAGAAGACAAGAGTTCATTACTTCTTATTTGTTCATGTTTTCTTTTTCAACTTTTTAGAGATCTGTGTCCATACCGTTCAACATGGAGTCCATCCGTCTGCAGTCATCTTCATAACGCTTCTCCAAAGTCACTTGCTACTTTATTGTTATTTTTATCGTGGAATACTATGCAAGCTACTGTGACAACGCAATTTCCCTTGTGGATCAATAAAGTCTGTATAAGTCTAAGTTACAAACCCAAACATTTGATATTTTAATTCATCTCCCCATTCCCTTCACACTAATTGCTGTGTTTAGAGTCATGTAGACAGGTACGGCCCAAATATAAATTGATAGATTATGTAAACAAATGAGGAATGCAAGCTGTGAACCAGACCTGATACTTTATTGCAAAAGTGGTCGTATAGTAGTAGTAGTAGCACTGTAAGCATAACGCCAAGCCTACTGTGAGGAGTCCATGATTATTTATTTTTAGCAGATGAGAGTCCCGCAGTACCCAGGCCCTCTCTCTCCCCTGGGTCACTCCGCTCCATCTGGGCTGCATGTCCAGGAGATCGCACCTGGTCCAATAAAACCATACGGGAGTCCACCGCGAGGCTTTGTTTCCTCACTCTGACATGCACAGATATATACATACAACTATTACTTGCTTTTTATGATGTCATAGATAAAGATTTTATACTTCTTTATCATGCTAAAGTCAGAGTTTTTGTAAACATTATGCTAAATATAGACTTCGTACTTGTTTCTTGTTGATGCTAGAGAGTTAGAGATTGTTTTCTATTTTAGTATAGAGTAATTGTTATTATCTTGTGCTCTGTGTTACTCATTCCTGCCGTTCTGTAACTCGTGAAGCAATACTGAAATGTCCCTACCGTGGGACGAATAAAGGAACTCTTAATCTTAAACTCTGGACAACAATATTAAAAATAGAAGCAATAGTAGTAGCAGCGGTAAGATTTTAGTGCAATAGTAATTTCAGATAACAGTAATTAGATTGTCCTATAGCACTGGTCTGGTTGCATCTTTTCATCCACATGCCTTGTGTTTGCAGGTGTGTTGTAAACATTTCCATCGCTGGAGGCTTTATGATCGTGTGCATGTGTCTACCATTACTGCAAATTACAAATAGCCAACTCCACAACGTTCTGCTCTCATTTAGTCCTTTCCCACAAGGAAGAGACTGTCATCCTTTTTCCAGAGCCACAAAAATACGCCAAACCACCGCATAGACTTCAGAGATACATGTTTAGCTGATTCGCAATTTTGTGCAAATTAACACGCTTTTTTTACTGTTTGTAGTTTTGTGATAAGTTCTACCAGCTCTGAAGAGAAATGCATTCTTAGATGAACATTCACCTGTGCAGTGGACGATACTAGTGTACATTGTATATAATCTTGTACTATTGTGTAATGGTATCGCCGCGATTATGGTTTATTCGAGATTCAAGAATCCATTTGCCATTTGCAGTAAAACCACATTGGAAAAACTGTGCAAGACTTAACCCAGTGTGCACCAGACAGAAAACGGCACACACCAGAGCTCTTGCCACGGCGCCATTTTTCAGCGCCATTCGACAATTAGTAGAATAAACAGCAGAGGGCAGAAACATACATTCCACAAAGACATTTTTGGAAAAGAAACGGTATGTATAGGACAAAACACGGACATTTTTATTTGGGACATAAGCACTTAGCAGGTGATTTAAACTTGTTTCAATTGAATCACTATCTAAAAAGGAAGAAGAAGCTGAAGAAGTGCATGGAGGATTTTGTATCTTGTCTCTTGTTTTATTTGAAAACAATAGATACTGAAATATACTTAGTCAAATAATATCACAATATGACCACTGACCATTCACCATTCATTGTACAGCATTCTGCGACTTAAGGGACAAAACAGTCTCTTCTCTCCTTTTGATCAAGACAAAACCAATGGAATCATCCCAGAACAAGCAGATTATGGCTCTCATCCTCTGAAGTGCAGCGCTTTTGAAGAGACAAAGGACTTTCCGTTAACATAAGGGACCCAGTGGCCCTCAGGTACCAGCACAAAAGGCAGCAACAAAGTGAGCCCTGTAAGCCCCACCCTGCTCCTAAATCTTCCCAACTTTTCATGTAGCGCTCTAAGAATGATGGATGGATTGCTGGTGGAAAGCAAATACCATCTCCCAGTTTGATTTACTTCTTCCACTCTTCCTGCGCTCCTCCCTCTTTCCGGCCCACGTTCTGACCCCAGCACAGGTGTAGACCCGAGAACAACCCACTCCATGTGCTCTTTCACATTTTCACTACATTTCTCACTCTAAAAACAGTTAACAGGACTCAAAATACACGGGAGCTCAATCAAATGTAACATGATTTAATGCGCTTGATACGAAGACCTGTGACTAATACTGTATGTGAAAAAACAGAAAATTAACCCTAACCCTACGTTTCAAACATTATTGCTAACTTGTGAGATTGATGGTAACAATGAACCATGGCATGTTATACTTATTCTAAAGCTAGTTTTCTCAAAACAAACTAATTCATTCATTCTCTTCAAACTCTAAAATATTTTTTTCCGAGATGCATTTGGATGACTTCTCCTAATGTGACCAGCCCTGGGTCATTTAGACCCTTTTAGACCCTTATTCATGGTATTTTTCATCTTTTTTTAATCATTGTGGGCGGGTCATTTTGACCCAAGGATAGCATAAGGGTTAATTGGTTAAATGTATAATCATTGGCCATTCTTCAATTCCATCTCTTCTTTATATTTGGCCCAGTTTTTGTTCAATTAGAACTTTCTTTGTAAAAAAAATGTCACGTCAAATAGCGGCAGTAGCGACAGTAGCTCAGTTGGTAGAGCTATGGCCTTTGGGCCTGAAGGTTGTGGGTTCGAGCCCACCGTAAGACCTACTTCACGACTCCCACTGATGACTGCTGTCGTTGTGTCCTTGGGCAAGACACTTAACCCTACTTTGCCTAAAGCTCCCACTGAAAGATCTCAGCTCCTGTGGACTCATAACCTGCAGGAGGATCAGTGAGGGGCTGGTGCTCTGTGTACTGGGTGCAGCTCTGACTGCCATACCCCCGACCCAGAAATGGATTAAGGGGAAGAAAATGGATGGATGGACGTCAAATAGCAGTAATTTCTTGTATTGTTATTTGTTATAAGTTATTTACTCATTTTTACTCAATCTATTTCATCCGTAGATTTTATTTTCTTCTTTTGAATTGGACACAATTTATTTCACTTTAATAGTTATGTATGCTTATTCATGAGAGCTGTTACTGATAAAGACAATTACAAATGCAGAGTTTACCAGGGGTATTTATCATTATCCTTCAAAATTATGACAGGTCATTTTCTCTCTGGGGAAAATAAAATATACTTTAAATCTCAGTCATGGACTTGATGCAAAGTGTTTGGGCTGATTATATCCATGTATGATTCAACTATTGCAAATGCATTCTTGTGCTCTAAGAAATGGATTACAAACTGTACTTTATCCAATAGCTCACCAATATTTCTGCTCTATTTTCAAAGTCTTAAAGGAGTCTGTTATTTAATGATGAAAAAGTAGCTCTCTGGGGGTAAAGCATGGAACTGTAGCCACTTTAGAGACCGCGGTTGTACATATTTATAATACAAACACAAACCCACGTGAACAACTTAAACCAGCTGCATACGGTCTTTTTCACAGTGTCTTTCATCTGTGCAATAAAAAACTCAAATCCCTTTCCAGAAACAAGCTGGTACAGGAGTCACATGTGCCTGGGACTTTATTTACCTGCTCTGGACGCATTATAACAACAGTGAATCGAGGCCGCAGGATCTGGGGAAAGCCTTCTTTTGCTAATCCAGCGCCGTGAGGATTATCTATAGTGGGCCCTGGTCTTTGGCTCCCTGGCTCTGGCCGTGGAGCTCAGTGGGTGTGGGATGTTTTGCAGCAGACAGTGAGAAATGAGACAGAAAGTGAATGAGCGAGAGGTTAGAAAAGAGACAAGTATACGATGAGCTGTGGGTAGAATTTCATGCCTGGGAGCTCAGAGGGGATTCACTACGTGTGGCTGCAAATCTGACAGCCAGTTTGTCAGGATTACAGAGGCTGCACTTGACGGGTTTCTCAAAATCAAATTATCCACGTAAGATTTCCTGCATTTTACACAAACTACCGGTATCATAAGTAATAAATAATATTCTTTAATTCATTAATTTATTCATTAGACACACATAGTAAGGTATATCAAGCCGTTATTTGTTATAATGTTGATAATTATAGCTCAGCTCAAGAATTTGAATATTTTGATAATGAAATATAAGCCATATTCACCAAAATGAAAACAAAGGCATATGTCTGTATCCTATTTCATGTAATCCTATTTTTTACAACCCTAATTACAGAAATAAATGAAAAATATTCTAATTTTCCAAGTTTCACCTGTATACTGTATCTTGGTTTAAGTACATTTTTACTTTCTTTTAGTAAATTAATGATACTGCCCAGTTTGCCCAGTCAAATGCTTTTGTTAAACATGCACAATACTCAGATCAAGATATAGTAATTACAATATATATGAAGCCCTTGATGTACCTTTTTTGGTGTCTTTTGCAGTATTAATGATTCCATCACTAAAAATATTTGTCAGCTTTATTTTGTATAGCACCAGCTGACCAAAGTGCGTCACAGGCACAAAAGCAAAAAATAAACATTAAAACTCAGCTGTTGTTGAAAAAAAACAACAAGGCGAACAGATGTGTCTTTAGTCTTGATTGAAAAACCTCTGTTGAAGGAGTTTCTCTAATGTACAGAGGTAAACTACGCAGCAACAGCAAAAGCCCGGTCTCCTCGAGTTTTGAGACAAGACTCAGACGGAGATAACAGCTCCGTCACATATTTACTGAATCTATTCCTGTATAATTGCGTACAGGAGAGTGGATGGTATTTGTAAGCGATATTGTCAAAATACACTGCAGTCTATGTCAGGACACAAATTCTTGTTAGAAAAA